TTCTATTCTATTCTATTCTATTCTATTCTATTCTATTCTATTCTATTATTGTCCAATCTCTTCTTAAAACCTCTAGTGATGGAGCATCCACTGCATCTGGAGGCATGGTGTTCCGCTGATTAATTGTTCTTACTGCCAGGAAATTTCTCTTTAGTTCTAAATTGGATCTCTCTTTCACAAGTTTCCATCCATTCTTGTTCTATCCTCAGGTGCTTTGGAGAATAGGTTGACCCCTTCTTCTTTGTTCAAATACTACTATCTTGTCATGCCTAGCCCTTCCCTTTGTTAGACTAAACATTCCCAATTCCCGCAAGTGTTCATCATATGTTTTAGCCTCCAATTCCCCAATCATATTTGTTCTTCTTCTCTGCACTTTCTAGAACAGGGGTATCAAACTGGAGGCCTGTGGGCTGAATGTGTCACATGCAGGCCACACCCATCCCAGCTCCGCGAATGAGAAAAATGTCACAAAATGTCATGTGATGACAACATGACGTGAGTTTGACATCCATGTTCTAGAATCTCAACATTTTAATCCAGAACTGGATGCTGTATTCCAAGTGTAGTCTTACAAAAGCAATATAAAGCGATACTAACACTTCATGTACTTTTTTTTATTGCTAAAAAGTTTTTTATTTTATTTTGACAACAAACATTGACAAATACAAACATAAAACATCAATAAAACCATCTTTCCATTGTATAATGTGTCGGTTGGTACATATCTTTTATGCACAATATCAACAGTCTTTCCCTTCAAAATGCTTAATTAAAGTTCATATTATATAAATCAACTATACATATTATAACTTCTTATTAGACTTTGTTTATAAGTTCATATCATCCTTTTCGAGCAAATCTCAACTTTACAGAACCTAATTCATAATATCATTCATTTCATTGTAATCAATTATATCATTACATTGTCTTATCATTACTTAATATTATGATATTGATACTGAGTTCTATTGCTGTAATCTCCTGGGTCGTTGGCTGTGTTGTAACATCAAGACCCAGGATGTCACAACAATAGAACTCAGAAGGTCATCACACAGCCCATTACCCAGGTTGTTACAACACAGGAGGCTGATAGACACACAGCCAATACCTCAGCCACACATGTTCTTACGAAAAAGCTAACCAATCTGCAAATATCAACTCCATCAACCAATCAAGAAATAACAACACAGCCAACCTCCCCACCAGTATTTATAGAGAGACGGCAGCTCCGATCACGCTTTGCTCACACAAGCATAAAGCCAAAAGCACCAGTCTGAAGATGGCGAGTGGGACCTCATCAAAACGTTGCCAAGATACTCTCAATCTTACATGGGAAAAGACCCGAACACACCAAGACCTGCATATATATATGGCACCAAAACCCTAGCCACTATAGAAAACCCCAGCCAAAGAATTATCAGAGAAGCCATCAAGATTGAAAAAAGACCTGAAAGCATGAATAGAAGAGATGATTCCATCAGACTGTCAATTATTTGAAAGCCTGCACTCACAAACAAAAAAATATCCACAACACAAGCCAGGCAAACACCTGGCACAAACAGATCCCCCCTGATGCCTCTAGCTCAAACACACCCCAACCAGGCACCCAGATGAAACCTAGCTTCCTAATAAATGATAGCCGTCCATTTACTCGGAGCCAAGCCGCACTAAAAGCCTCCAATACAGGAACACAATGTTGCCAGCCAATCAAGACAAAAAAAGCCACAAAACAGACAGAAGATATTAGAAACGCTAATCAAGCAGAACACAGCAAACTCCAAGACCAATAAACACAGACCAAGACTCCCAACCAATCAGGATTAAGAAAAAAACATTCTGGCACAGCAGTAGGCTAGCCCCAAATTTAAAACTGAAACGGCTGTGAAAGTCTGACTCACAGACGAACACAATCCTGATGATGGCAGATGAGATTCTGCCGAAATGTTGCTACAACTTTAAAAGCACAACTATAATGACGTGGGAAAATACCCAAACAAAGCTGAATACCATACATATACATATACATATACATATACATATATTTGTTTTCTTAAGTTTTCGCAGGTACTTACATGTTGTGCCTCCGAGGTTTGAACCTGGTCAGTCAGCAGATGTAGGCTCGAGTGATGAAGAAGATCTGGCATTGAGATTTGAGCCTGCATTATTGAGCGACGTTGAGAGGAGTCTGGGGGAGGAGGAGGAGTTGACTCTGAGAGATGAGCCTGATTTACTAGAAGTTTCAGAGGCGTCTTCCTCTTCTGGAACTCCCTCCCTGATTGCACCTCAGGTGTTAACTGTTAATCAGGAAAGTGTGCCAGAGGCTTCAAGCGATAATGAAACTGCCGGATGCTGGCTTAATGCTAGGACTAGGAGAAGATTGAGACGTCAATCACAATTAGAAAAGAGATGTCAAGCCAAGGATTAATTAAAGACACTGACACGCCCCTTCAGGGGATATATAAGGAGCGTGTTAACGCCTCTCCCCCGCTTGAAGCAAAGTGTATTTTGGTGTGAAAGAATTGCGTATGGCTGCGGCGTTGTGATTTATGGACAGTTCAGACTTACCAGACGGATTCCAGGAAGACTGCCAAGGACTGTGAAAATAGAAGCAGTTAACTCTTTTGGGTCTGGTTTTGTTTGCTTGAATATTTGAACTTTGGATTCTCACCTGTGGATACAGGTGAGACAGAACACTTACATGTATGGTATTCAGCTTTGTTCGGGTATTTTCCCACATCATTATAGTTGTGCTTTTAAAGTTGTAGGAACGTTTCGGCAGAATCTCATCTGCCATCATCAGGCTTCTGTATTGTGTTTGGCTGTGTCCTGATTGGGTAGGGGGGTGTTGTCATTGGTTGGGGGTTTGGCTGTGTTCTGATTGGGTGGGGGTGTGTTGTCATTGGTTGGGGGGTTGGCTGTCCAACCAATCAGAACACAGCCAAACCCCCAACCAATGACAACACACCCCCACCCAACCACAACACACCCAAACCCCCACCCAAAAGGAAGAAGCAGCTGCAAGCTCACATTACTCTGAGAAGCACAAAGCCGAAGACACAAGCCTGAAGATGACAAATGATACTTCGTCGAAACGTCGCCAAGTTACTTCCAATTTTATGTGGGAGAAAACCCAAATAACCAAAGATCCACATACAAATACCCGCGAAAACCTCAGAATATATATATATATATGTTGTGATTCCGGCATCTGCTACAGGTTTTTTGAATGACAGCTCCAGCGAGGAGGACTTATATGAATCAGCAAGTTCTAACGATGAGGAGGAGATGAATGCATTTGATTTGCAAGATCGGCTTGAACCTTCAAACTCCTCCACCCTTCAATTAGGTGGTCAGCCGGGA